AAATAGGGGGAAATCATTATTTTGTATGTGCTGGCTTATGACGTGCTGTAATTTAACATACAAGTATTTACAGGATATAAAAGAGATTGTACAGAGCATAATGAGTAATAAAGAAACAGTCTAATCACATGCACTTAGCACAAGAAAAAGCCTGCTACCTCTGTATTCCCAGATAAAGTTTAACACACTGTGCAGTGGAGCTGAGGTTGTGTACATACGAACAGGTTGCTGATCAGGTTAAGGCAACACATAAGACACACAAAACACTGTGTTGTTACCAAGGAAATGCAAAAGCAGCAACAAATATATAATAAGATCTGTTTTGTGCCAGTTAGCATCTGATTTGGAGTCAATCAGGAATGAGTCATTAAGAAAGTGGTCAGATACTTAGGAACGTGTCATCACCAGGCCAGTCACCAGAGGAAAATACTGGCATTAGATGTTTCTGCAGACCACAAGTACGTCAACATTTGCATGTTTTATATGCATCATAACCTTTCTAAAATGACATATATGAGCTGAATTTGTCATCAGGGGGTGGAGTGGATGGGGGATGGCGTGTCCCTAAGGTGAGATGCCTGCAGACCACTGTTTGAGACCATCAAACAACAGTATCGGCTGTTTCTGGTAAATCATCGCTCCGTTCCCAGCGGGTTTATAGCCACTGAATGTCGGTGTTTTTTAGCGACCCGCCACTGTTTTTCAGGGAGCTTTTCGTCACCAAACATGGGTGTTTTTTTGGTGACCTGACGTCATTTTTCAGGCAGCTTTCCGTCACCAAACGTGGGTGTTTTTTTAGTGACCTGTCGTCATTTTTCAGGCAGCTTTCCGTCACCAAACGTGGGTGTTTTTTTAGTGACCTGTTGCCGTTTTTCAGGCAGTTTTAAGTCACCAAACCTGGGTGTTTTTTAGCACCCTATTACTGTGTCTCCACCAAGGCTAGTGCCACGAAAAGCAGTTGTTACTTACCGAGACATCGCTGTGTTTCCTGCCAGGATGGTGTCACAAAAAGCGATTGTTTTTTACAGAGACATTGCTACGTTATCTGCCAGGACAGTGCTACGAAAAGACATCACTGCATTTCCTCCTTGAGTTTCAAGGAGAAAAGCAGTTGTTTTTTTTTACAGAGACATAGCTGCGTTTCCTGCGGGGTTGGTGCCACGCGAAGTGACTGCTTTTTACCAAGAGCATCGCTGCATTTCCAGGTGAGATTATGCCCGCAAAAATGGGTTTGAAGCCAAAACATGATCTTTTCCTAACCATATCCACATTAGTTTTGTGCGTTTCCTGCCGGGATAGTGCCACTGAAACTGGTTGTTTTTTACTGAGACATCACTGCGTTTCCTGCCGGGATATATACTGATTGTTTTTTACAGAGACATCGCTGCTTCTCTAGGTGTCATTTTGCTCCCCACAAACGGGTATTTTCAGTCATAACATGATCCTTTCCTAACCGTAACCACATGGTTTTTGTGCCTTAACCTAACCACACATTATTTACAGCAAGGTTGAAATGTAAAGCTTCAACCTATCCACCACATAATAACAAACAAATGTATTTTATCTGTGGTTTTTAGGAATCTAAGATGTCAGTTTTTTTCTGATGATTGAGTTGAACACACTGGTTCAATAACATAATTTAATATTAAGCAGTCTGTTCCAATTTTATTGACAATATTTATGACACACAGTGGTTCTTGATCCACAGTTATTCAGGAACTTATTGTTAGTTGTTGATTAAAGAGCAGTTAGTTCCTGATTTGTTGACTCATGTATCGGTAAGTACTCAGAATTTTGTGTTACCCAGATGAATATACAGCTGTGATATTGAGACAGGAAGTGGTGGGAACACAGACAGCGCAAGTGAGCCTTTTGGAGAGTTGAGGACTTTACAGACACGCACACACAATGCTTTCAATAGCCTGTGTGTGACATAAAAATTGGATGCCATTGCAAGTCTCTTTATGCATGAAAGGCCACAAACACTCTCAGATGTTAGAACAAGTTTGTCACACCGTTAATTTTCAGCACTGCACAATTCCCTAAGACACCAAGCACTTGTCTAAAACAAACTTAAAGACAAACTGTTCACGTATATGAATGAATTCAAAATGTTCCTCTCAGTCAGTGTAAACAGATGAAGCATGGCTCCAGGCCAAAGCAGACTACAGAGTAAAAGCAGCATTGCAACATTCACTGGCTGCTAAAACGCAGCTACTCTAAGGCAGCAAACTGTTGTGACGCAAACCGAGTGGTGGGGACATGTCAAAGACAAACAAACTAAAACCGAGGGCATAACATTTCAGATTATTAGAAGATAATGTGACTGCGTTTTCCCATCTCTTCGTGGCACCTCGGGCAAGTTTACAGCGACAACATGCTCTCATATTCCCCACGGTATTTATAACTCGGTCAGCTGACCTTGCACTTGAACGCATCCACCACACGGGGAGACAAACCTACTTCGAAACAAACTGAATAACTAATATAATCTCGGTTGTATTCTGTTTTAATCGGACAAATATGTTTTACTGGTAATGTTAATGAGGAAGGACATGTTTTATAGTACAATATTGACAGGAAGTGGTTGTAGTGTCGCAGTTGGTGGCGAGCAGCTCCCCCGCCCTGCTGATAATGGTACGGTCCTCTGTTGAAATTCCGAGAATTGAGCTGCTGTGTTTCTTAGAACTGGATTCTCAGAACTGGTGATGCACAGAGTTTCGAGGAAACTTTTACAAGGTGACTTTTTTTCCTTCCTATTTTCTCAGCATTAGGTCAGGAGTGTAGTGAAGTAGCAGATGCTCGTGTGGCTGCTCCGGAGCTGGAAACCTGTCAATATTTTGAACGTTTTGTGATTGCTTTTAGCCGAAACACATTTTGAACTTAGTAGAGTTGACAGCTGCACTGTGTTTAACTTTATTTTAGACGGAAGTGCGACTTTTAGGCTGTGCTGGGTTAATTTTGCAGTTTAGTGCCTGTTCTTTGACTGAAAACAAGCAGCAGGTTTAACATTTAGCCGAAGCAGCACTTTATAGTCATACTTAATGTTATTTATGTCACATTTTGTAGCTGTATGTGAGTATTTGGCAAGTTTGAGGCTACAAAAGTGGCGCAACAGGACAAGTCGGTCTGGTTCTGTCATACCTAATTTTCCTCTGCGCATTTATGTCGAGGGACAATCTTTTCACTTCACTGAATGTCTCCAACGCAGAGCCGCTGGCTTCATATTAGTAGTTTGACTCGAGCAGACAGTGTTTAAACTCATAATGAAAGTACAGGACAGTCCCCAGACATGACAGCTTAGCACAATTTCTAAACTTGAACGGACTTGTGCTGGCCTGTTCGGTGGCGCACAGCCCAAGTTACGCAGCAGCAAACTAACCACTCCTTGGAATAACATCCCCACCGAATCATACCGTCTGAGTTTGGTCTAATATTTCAGGTTGAGAGATGGACTCGAGAGATAAGTTAAGCTGCGGGAGAGTAAATGTTAATGGGTTAAATGAGATGAGCTGTACTTATATCGGGGAACAGGAAACCTCTCTGTGTACTGGCAACCTAATCTGAGCAGCCAGGACGGAATGTGCTCAACGTCAAACACGTTTACAACCTACAGGCTGCAGGCTGCCAGCACTTTGGTGTGCTCTGTTAACACGCTGTGAAACTGCAAGGAGAGAGCAGACATGAGGGAATCATACCCGCATCATTTATATCTCACACCTCAGCACTTTAGGATTGTGTTTGCAATTAATAGTTTGTGCATTTGCTGCATGTTCCTGAGATTTTTTTTATCATCTTAAAATCATGATAAGCGTTTGTCAGACTCGCATAGATGTTGACTTTCTGATAAATATCACTGTTTAGAATAATAACATGTTTAAATATCGCTTATGCAATAATATTACCGTCATCAGGGCCCGATAAGAAGTAAGGCATGGCTCGAGAGGTTTAGTAAAACTCCCTTTTACTTTTCTCTTTGCAATGGCGCCGCTCTTTGATGAAACACTGTCAAGACACTTCAAAGCTTGTTTTTGACTGTAAACCCCGCAGGCAGGTGGCTTGTGTTAGTGAAGTATGAGCCCGAGGTGATAAACAAAGAGTGTTTGTTGTCTTTTATTGCATGTATAGCTCAGTGGTTATCATTTATTAATTATATCATTTATAAATTTATTAATTTAATTTATTAAGTTGGGTTTAGAGTGTAATTTTGGGGGTTTAAGATTTCTTAAGTGTACCAGAATGCAAGGGTGTAGGTTTGGGGGGGTGGGGGTCCTCTGCCAGACAGTTTTGCACAAAAAGGGGTTCATTTTTACCGAGACATCACTGTTTCCTGCAGAGATAGTGCCACGAAAAGGTTTTTTCCAACACATCGCTGCGTACTGAGGCGGGATTGTGCCACCAAAAACGGATATTTTAAGCCAAGACATGATCTTTTCCGGACTATAACCAAATGTTGAGGTTAACCACAGTGTTGTTTAAATGTAAAGTTCCAACATAATGTTACACAATAGTTTACAAATGTAATGTATCAGTGGTCAGAGCTGAAGGTGATGGAGTAAACTTTATGTGTCATTAACTGATTATAATTTATTACAATTTTGATCGTGCAATTTTGGGGTTTAAGATGATTTCTGAAGTGTAACAGAATGTAAGCGCGTAGGTTTCATTTCAATATAGAGGGGGACACATATCAAACATGGGTTTTTTGAAAAACACATGCACATGTTCTAAATACTGAGGGAGGCACGTCCCATGCACCCCACCCCTGAAATCTACACCTGGGCCAGAATGTACAAAATTTAAAGCCCGTCTAAGCTGCAAGATAAAACTTATCTCTAATGTTGTCAGAGGATTTAATGATTTATTTGGTAGTAATGTTTTTATATCCAGACTACAGTTTGTGCACGTCTCTTGTGCGACTTAATTTAGTAGTGGATCACTGTTGCTGCAGATTTTAACTAATAATGATCTAAATATTTATTGTTTTTGCCCTTGCTCAGATTGCGACAGCATGGCCACGACTGCAGATGGCTGCATTCAATTCACACGCCATGCAGGCGACGTCCTGCTCAACTTCAACCGCCTCCGCAGCAGGAACATCCTGACTGACGTCACCATACAGGTGGATGGACAACATTTTCATGCTCACAAGGCCGTATTGGTGGCCTGCAGGTATGCAACATCATGAGATCTGACAGCAGCATTAGCACTTGTATTAGTACCTGTGCGCATTTCTAACACTGTATTCTCCTGTCCTTTGCTCTCTTACAGTGGCTTCTTTTATTCTGTGTTCATGGACCCCAAGAACGCAAACCTCAGTGCCATCAGCTTAGACCCCAAAGTGGACCCCAAGGGGTTCTCCATCTTGCTTGACTTCATGTACACGTCCTGTTTGGACCTTAAGGACACTCTGGTCCTGGCCACCATGAACACAGCCATCTACCTCCAGATGGAACACGTGGCCGACACCTGCCACAGATTCATCAAGTCCAGGTAAAGGGAAATAGAAAATGTGACAAGACAGGATCTGATTTGTCGGAGAAAATGAGAGGGCTCTGAGTTAGAGGTAATAATTAATCATTGAATATGTTCCTGCAGGCATCAGATCGAAGAGGTACAGACCAACTCATCACATCTGGCTGAGGGTATCCCTGCTTTGAGGCCTGGTGATGAGAAAGAACCAGACTTTAGAAACAACCACATATCAACCTCATCCCCTCTCCAGGAGTGCAGGGGCTACATCCCCAATGTCTTCAGGGGGATCAACACATCTGGCTCCTATCATGTATATGGTGATCTCCATGTCACTGCTGGGAAGCCAGAAGGCTCCCATAAGGTCAGCGACCTCCCCAGAGCAGGGGCTTTGTCTCAGAAACGATGCTCGCAGGTACCCAGCACCAACATGGCTCGCAGTGAGTCCACTGCCATCATCTCCCACGCTGTGCCATCCCACCCCAGTTTCCCCACCACTATCATCAGAAACGCAGGAGCCCACGGGAGCCTTCAAAGGCCTGTCTCCCCCATGGAGGAAGACAGCATTCAGCATCCACAAACCAGCTGTCTCAGATTGTCTCCAGGTTTTAGCAAAGGTGTGATTTGCAGTCCTCAAAGCCCCCTCAGATCTGACTGCCAGCCCAACTCGCCCACTGAGTCCAACAGCAGCAAAAACGCCACGCTGAGCCTCAGACAGCCCTCTGACTGCCCCAGCGACGCCAAGGCCCACAACTGGAAGAAGTACAAGTTGATTGTTATGAACCAAACTCCCGATGAGAATGAAAAGGAGTCTCACGGAGGCGGCGCTGAAGCTACAGCCATGTCACCTGCGCTGAGCCCCTGCAGGAGTGGTGCAGCAGGGGGACACAGCGAGGTCCAGTCAGAAGAGGGAACTGGCGAGCAGAGAGAAGAAGTCCTGATGTCTCAGAGTGTCGACAGCTGTAGCAGCAGCACCTGTAGCAGCATCAGGTAAAACTCACACTCACTGTGAGAACTGTAAACTGAAACTAAATATAAAATTGTTAAAGAGAGGAAGTTAATTTTATTTTAACACTGGTTGTCTTTTGTGTGCAGCTACCGCAGATGCTCCTCCTGTGGCTGTGACAGCCCTCATTGCATGGAAATGGGTCACCTGTCTCCTGACTCCTACAGCCGAGAAGATGCCACCAAATCACACTCAGATTATTCCTCCTCCGGCTCTGGTATGTGGACTTCAGAAGCTCCCGATTTCCTTAGCTTATATGTTAAGTTTTGAATTCAGGTGTTAAACCTCTGTTGATTTTATTGCTTCCCTGTACAGAAAACAACATCTACTTCTGTAATGGCTGTGACTCCAAGTTCACGGAGGAAGATTCCCTTAAAGAACACATGGCCCAGGTGCACAGTGACAAGCCATACAAGTGCGACTGCTGCCAGGCTGCCTTCCGCTACAAGGGCAACCTGGCCAGCCACAAGACCGTTCACACTGGTAAGATTAATAATTAAAGGCACCATCAAGCCAACTTAATGGATGTGGCTGTTGTATTCATTGCGCAACCTGGTGATCTTAACTTCCAGGTGCGAAGCCGTACCGCTGCAACATCTGCGGCGCTCAGTTCAACCGACCAGCCAACCTCAAGACCCACACACGCATCCACTCTGGAGAAAAGCCATATAAGTGTGACACGTGCGGTTCCAGATTTGTCCAGGTGAGGGAAAGAAGACAAGCAAATGTCAAACCACTGCTTTTGTCATATTTGAAACTGTCACAATATCAACACAAAAGTACATGCAACAGATAATCTGTGGGGAAAAAAAACATGTTCCTCCACCTCCTAGTAATGCTTCTAATGGCCTTACTGCAAGTATTAAATTGAAAACAACTCAAATGTAGCTGTCCTGAACTGCGTCCAAACTGTCAAACTAGGCAGCTCTGATCATATGACTCAAGATTCTGTTATTGCACTGCCTATTTCTCACCTCAAACATTTTCAGAAACATATTTTAGTGTACTGTTTAGCTGTAAAATTAGAACAACTGCACAGATAATCTGTCTCGTGTACTACTGTGTGGATGTAGTGACAGTTTCAGCAAATACAACAACTTATTTTTATGAAAGCTACTGTAGCTGTAGGTATGTGTGTGTGTATATGTTAACATATGCTTTAATTTTCTTCCAGGTGGCCCATCTCCGTGCCCACGTCTTAATCCACACAGGAGAGAAGCCGTACCCTTGTGAGATCTGTGGAACTCACTTCCGCCACCTCCAGACGCTCAAGAGCCACATGCGCATTCATACCGGAGAGAAGCCTTATCATGTAAGCCTCCTAGTCTGACCCCCTTTTCTTATCCACTGTGTCTGCTGGCTAAGAAGAGAGTAATCCCTGCCCCCCCTCCATGATCCATGTGCCTATCAATAGTTATAAGTCCTGGGAGGTAATCCTGGAGAGCTTTGCGTACCTGTGGGGGTTGGGGGATGAGAAAGGTGATCCTAAATTATTTTATTCTTTTCCCCCCAGTGTGAAAAATGCGACCTCCACTTCAGACACAAGAGCCAGCTGAGGCTTCACCTGCGGCAGAAGCATGGCGCAGTCACTAACACCAAGGCTCAGTATCGCAGGACGCCCAGCAACATCACCACAGGCCTGGTAAACACCTGCTGAGCCGGCAGCGAGTCACTTTTGTTTTCCTTTTGCATCGGCTGCTGTGTCGTCAAAAGACTTTTTTTTTTTTTTTTTAACAAACAGAAACATAAATATTATGTATATGTTTGCCCTTTATGCATTTGTAAATGATGCACATTTATGTAAGCTCTTTGGTATTTCAAAGATTGTAGAAGTTTATGCTTTGGTCGTGAATGTCTAACAAGAGAATGTACATTTTGAATGTGAATTTGAGCAGGCATTTCGCTATTTGGCAAATCACCTAACAGAGTGTTAACATTGAAGGACAGTCCTCTTCCTCGCTCAGAGTGAGAATCACTGTTACAGTTTCGCTTTAGATGTTGGCATGAATTTGCCCAGCGATGTGGTCACAGTTTATGCAGTTGTTTTTCATTCGCTTATGTTTTGTAAATAAGATAATATATATTTTCAGATTGCCGTCTGCTGGCAGAGTACGAATATATTTGTTTGTCAATAACACAAGGGCTTTTTATTTTGCCATTACATAGTTTGTGGTACGTATTGTAATATGTACAGATTGTCATTCATATAAAAAAAATTGCTATGTACATATTTTCTTTTTTTTTAATCATTTCTAGCCTGTTGGTATTTTGCACATACTCATAATGCTGTAATTCATATATTTTCATACTATTCATTCAAATATTTCTACTTAAAATGTTCATGACATGTCGAACTGTTTGCTAGACCGCGTGCCCAGCACTTGCTATTTTCTTATTTATATTCTAATTTTTCCTTTGCTGTATTCTATTACATTTTGGTGCTGCAATGATCCCCAGCTGGATCATGAACATATTTTATCTAACCATCATGTATTATAGTGCACTCGTACCAACCAGTGTATTAACAGTGCCTTACATTCACAACTCTCTATTTGCTACCTTCTCAGACTAACTGTTAACGTGGTATAACTTTGACTAAGCCTCGGTATTAACTGCTGTTGTGATGCATTTCACATTCGGTACGTTGCTCTGTTGTCATGTGTACGCATGTCTGGTACTGTTATTTTGGAAGCTAGTTATCTGTTGAGTGTAGCTCTTGAAATGCAGATACACCAGGCCTCAAGCTAAAAAACAAAAACAAAAAAAATGCTCAGGAATATTAGTAAGCAAATGTCTTTGTAACTGCAGATTATATATATATATATGAAATATATATATATATATATATATATGACATGAAAATAAAAATGTATTATGTAGCACCTGGTCCGATGATTGTGTTCATTATTCATCAAGTATTGCTATAGTTTATTATTATGATTATTATTTTTGTCTTCTTTGCCTTAATTGGACAGGGCAGTCTCGGTGTGGAGGGGGCAGAGGGTGGGAGGGTGTGCGGTGGAGGGTTGCAGGCTGGAATTAGGCCTGTGGCTGCTGTGGCGAGGACATTGCAGATGTATATAGAGTTCCTTCTCTACCCACTAAGCCACTGGGCGCCTACAGTATTCCTATAGTTTTGTGGTTAAATGTAGAAGAGTAGGTTTTGTTTCAACTGTGGGTGGAGTACATATGAAACAAGGCACATCCTGGTGGATTTTTATGCACCACCTTGTGACTTTTCTGTCTCACTTTATGGTGGAGATGTCATATATTTAGCCAAAATAAAAGCTCTCTGCCATTTTGTTTTTCTTGAGAGGACAAATGCACAAAATGTTCTAAATACTGAGTGGGACATGTCCTCTGCATGCCTCCTGAAATCTACACCTAAGGGTATATGGAAGGTGTACTTGCTTTACTTGAGTACTTGCTTCTCTCTGGCTCCCCCTGGTGTTCACTCGTATAAACTGTAATTTATCCTCTTACATAGATTTAAAAAAGGAAATGACCTGCAGTGAATGTAGAGAGGAGCACAGATGGTTTAGTTATGGTTAGTTGATCAACTAGCCTCCATTTATGTGTAGGTAAAGTGGTAAATCTATGGAGGACAAAATTGTTTCATTAATCACAAATTACATGAATAAATTAAACATGTATTAACACCAAAATATATAAAGAATATTTTTGATTTAGTAAATAACCAAAATTTGGAAATGAATGCCGAAATACAGAAATGCTTAATTAAGAAAATGTATATAAATACTTGAATAATAAAAGCAGAAATGTAGAAATGTATGGAAGCACACTGCATTCTGAATGAATATATTTTTTTAATTTTCTATTTATTCAGTTAATGCAATGAGCTTCCATAGCAATTCAAGAACATAATGATAATTTGTAGAAATAAATTTGCACCTTATTTCTATAGTCATTAATTAGCTATATTTATTTAATTGACTGGAAAAAAAAACCCTGGATAAACCCACTCAAGTCATATCTATTTCCACCTGCTGATAGATGAGGGGTTTGTGATTTTTCAGAAGTCTTCAAGCAGTTAATAACTTAATTTAAAAATGTATAAGGTAGCACTTGTTGCAATAATCATGTTCATTATTTGCAAGTAAGACATAATTGAGCCTTTATGTATTACTGTAGTTGTGTGGTTATGTGTGTAGTGTACTTGTTTCTCTCTGGCTCCCCCTGGTGTTCACTCCTATGAATCAAAATTTATTCTCGTACATAAATTTAAAAAAGATTGACTTACAATTAACATTTGGAGGTAAAATATTTGGAGGTAGGTAAAATAACTAAATCTCTGGAGGACAAAACTGTCTTACTGACTTATCAATAATTAACTGAATAAATTAAGCATACATTAACACTGAAATATACAAAGAATTACATTTTTTAACTGGTAAATAACCTTTTAAATTTAAGAACAAATGCTAAAATACAGAAATGCTTGATTATACTTTCCAAAAAATTACATATAAATATGTAAATAATTTAAGTAGAAATATAGAAATACAATAATAAAATGTAGATGTGTAAAAATTACATTTATTTATTTACCATTATCTATATTTATTTAACTGACTGAAAAAAAAGTTCCAGCTCAATTTCTACATTGACATGTAGCGCTGCCTGTTGGCAGATTAGGGGTTTCATAATTTTGTAAAATCTTGTGTAGCAATTAATAACTTGATCAATTTATTATCATCGACTACAGCTCTATACTTGTATAGTTAAATATACAGAGACAAATAACTACAAAACATACCGTATAAATAGGATATTGTCACACAGTATTGACTTGATATTCTGGATTAATTGAACAAAACAAATGAAAGGAGTCATTGTTTTAACTTTTACAGTTTAATCCCCCGTCCTTCAAGCAGATACAGTACTGATTTAACGAAATGATTTCTATCTTCATGTTTTCTCTGTGATTAGTCCCAGCTGTCACAGCTGTGATGAAGCACATCCAGGTGTTCTAGTACAGTCAAATATTCATTGCAGAATGGGTAACAGAAAGATAAACCTGGTCATGTCCCTTAAGTGCTGTCCATTAAGCATGACACAGATGTTTGATGCATTTTATTTGGAGGCTACTGGCTGCCCTGCCAGTCGTAAATCAAACCCAGTATGTCGTCATCAGGTCAAACTATTTGGTCTGAAGCACGATGGCTGCTTCCAGTGACATGATACTCATCAGTGAAGACATCAATGATATACACCACCAAAAAGTGTCTATGCTAACCTTACATTTGTTCCTATGCGAAGGCCTCGAACTATGATGAAAGACAGTGCAGACGAGCTGTGAGCTCCTCTAAGCATGAACTACTTAATCACAAATAGCTGCTAGGCAACTCTACTTCTCATTCAGATCAATACATATTGTACACACATCCACAAACAAACAGTGCAGCATTTTACAAAAAGAAATGGAAAACAAAAATTAACCAAAAGTAAAAAGTAAAATGGACATATAAACTTATTATAGTGTGCTCGGAGTTGATAAAAAGAAAACTAAAAATGTAAGTGAATGTTGTTGGCAGCTGGAGAGACTCAACCCTCTTTGTCTAGGATGACTTTCACATCAGCAAACACCTGAAAGAGAGAAACAGGAGAGTTTACTTTGACTTGTCAGGACACAAACAGACGAGTCATTTCAAAACTGGAACTACTACCCACACATGACATCTGACTGTGGAGCCAGGGACTTTATTCAGACCAGTATAATGGTGGGAAATTATAATGGGAAACTGGAGGAAACCAGGTGAGCCCTCTTTTAAGGAACGGTTCACGGAGTCGTCAAATGTTGCATCATATGAACAAATCTCTTTCAGTTCTGAGGACAGGACGGAGAAATGTGTGGCGGAGTGGAGAAGCTACTTGGAGTACACTGCTGGTGTGGAAGCATTGGAGAGAGGAGTGCCAGAGAGAATGTGTTATGTTGGAGCACAGCGAGTGTAGCTAAAGACCCAGACACACCAAACTAAATTCAGAGAATTAGTGGCTGCGTCAACTCATTTTGCCTGTGTCTCCACCAAAAAGTTGCAAAGTTGCTACACAGACTATGGTCAAGCAGCATGTGCGTTCTGCGCCTATGTACGAGGATATAACTCCACACCAGCTGACGGCGGTCGTCTGTATTCATCATTCAAAAAGGGAAACAGGAAGACCGTCTTGACGGTAGTTAACCAGTCAGCACATTAACAACACAATCCAGTGCTGAAAATACGGTAACACAAACCATCACAAGACACTTCTGCTAAAGAAAAACAGTCTTACCTAATGTAACATGTTTTGATCTCACTTCCTTTTAACTTTAGCTGTTTGTTTACTTTCCTCATTTCTGTTTCTCTTCGCTGAGCTGAACCACCAATCAGAGTGATATCATTCACCAACGGACTCTGCTGTTGTTGATTCAACATGGCCAAAAAAATCCAATAGGGCTAATGATGAGGAACACCAACAGCCCATCTTTGACTGATGGCCAACTGTCGGCTTGGTGTGTCAGGGCCTTTAGTGTTATCTAAAGGATGTCCTTCGATGTCATGGCTGAATACTGAGCTGATTTCAACAATGTGAAAAAGTCCGCAGCAAGACTTGGGCACAAAAAAGAACAGAACAAGCAAAATGTACAAAAAAGTTTAATTTTTCTGTAGGGATCCTTTCCATAATGTTGTCAGACACTCAGAACAACAATCTGAGCCTGTCAGTGACAAAAACAGCACGTTAAGTGGACGTAAACTGACAGTGTGAACAAGCCCTGAATGGCTACATTGCAGCCTGTTTCACAGTTGGCTGCTGCAGCGCTCTTGCTCAATACTGGACCATGTTCAAAAATTGATGTTCCCATTAGTTACTTAGACCAGTGGTTCCCAACCGGGGACATGACCCCCTAATTTTAATGCATTACATGTCAAAATTTAAGTCATTTATGTGTCAAAAACAAATAACGTGTGTTGGGGGCACTAAAGTCTACAATGGTTAAAATATGGGTCCCTCAAGAAAAAGGTTGGGAACCACTGACTGTAAGTACTATTCGGACGGGATTAGTTTTACATAGGGATGTGTACTAATGTCAGTTACACAGGATGTCTGTAATATAAATGTTCGATTCGCACGGGACAAGAAATCTCCGTAATTCTACCAGAGATGGGAGTAGTACCTCAATTTGCGCCCTGGCATCACCTCCCTGTCGGCATGTGCCTGCTACGTTGCTTCCTGTATGTGTAATAATATTTCATGATTAGCCCATATGAAAAACTGCCCATGATCAGGATTGTGTGTATACAACGATTAGCAATATCGATTTATATTAGGCCTACCTAACACAACCAGAAGTCTCGTGGCTCTGAAAAGTGCTTTCTTCTCGACCTTTTTGATTGGTCTCCCACGTAGGGCTATGCGATCATTAGAAGAATGTCCACTATCACATCTGCTGACAACACCGAATGCTTCTTCAAGCGCCTCCATCATCAAAAAAACGCGGAAAACTAGTTGTAAGTGCGGGAAAATGGCTGTAAACAGGATGTGACGAAATATTTACATATATTTTTACAGAGGATCGTGTTCGCACGGGATTAATATTACCCGAGGTATTTTCTCCAGACCGTTTTACAGAAGGTAAAGGAGTCGTAATTTTTACTGACATTATCCGTAATGATTACAGACATGGTCCATTCGGAGGGGACTAAAATCCCTGGTAATAATTACTTTACCCCACGTCTCCACGTTAAACTAATGCCGTCTGAACAGGGCTTTAGACACAAAAACAGGAAAAATAGGGTCCAGGTTGGAGAGTACTGGTATTATTTCCCGTTAATAATACAGTTACTTGTGTTTTTGTTTCTCCACAAAAATGTTTGATGCATCC